CTAAACCCTAAACCGCAAACCCCAAAGACCCGGAGCAGGCTCGCCAGTCCCATCCTACGACTCCACGCTGCGCCTGGTGCAGGGCATCGGCGAGACGCTGCTTGTCTTCATACAGTCATTACCCAGAGAGCCCCATACCCCCTTAACTAAGGAATATACCTTAAATCATTCAATTATATTAAATAAGGCTCCTTAATTTAAGGGAAAATTCCTTAATTAAGGGGTATTCGGCTCTCTGGGTAGGAGGGCCCTTGATAATTAGGGTTTAGGTTTCAGGGTTTGGGGTTTAGGGGGAGGGCCCTTGATAATTAGGGTTTAGGGTTTGGGGTTTAGGGCATTGGGGCCTTTGGTACTTTGGGTTTAGGATTTAGGAATTAGGGTTTAGGGCTTTGGGTTTAGGGTTGTTTAGGGAGGTTTACACAAAGTAGGTCGCAAGTGTTGCCAGCATCATAGGCATTCGAGGTACGTGCTGACTTGGCCCAAGCGCCACAGGTTAGCTTGGTTTAGGGCTTAGGTTTTTTTTTTGCCGATTGATGTCCGTTAATAAAAATCGTAGGCTAGAGTAGTATTCCTAAGGGGACTTATTTGGGTTTAAGGGTAAGTTTAGGGCTTAGGATTGGGGGCTTACGATTTAAGGGGTTGGGGTTTGGGTTCAAGGGCCGGATGCCCTTGGCCGTGAGCTAAACACCCTTCGCCCTTAAGAGTGTAGGGCTCGGGGTAAACTTGGGTCTGAATAATCAAGTTGCTATACCATAACGCTATCATGCAACTTCACGTTTTCATTAGTTCAGGGCCAAACACGGGGCCCAAGAGCTAGTGACTTCTCCGCGCTGGAGGCTTCAGTTAAAAACATATGAAGAACCTCGTAGGTTCGTAGAGCCTCTAGCAAGACCTCTTTTTCCAAGGTTTTCAGAGCCGAAAGCACACTATACTATAGAACGCGTATCAAAGCCCTACAAAGCCCCCATAAAGATCCTATAGGACCCTCCCTACAAAGCCCCCATAAAGATCCTATAGGACCCTCAATAAACGCAATAAAGTCCCTGTAAATACTGTAGAAGAACCCTTATAAACCCCCAAAAGACCCTCATTTCAAAGGTATTTCCATTTCAACGACGGCGAATGCCGCGCGCTGAAGACGACCCTTCGCGACATGGAAGGCTCGAGCCCCAGGTCTTAAAAAATCAACGGTAGGGATTTAGGGTTTAGGGTTTAGGGTTTAGGGTTTAGGGTTTAGGGTTTAGGGGTTTTGTGGTTGAGGGTTGATAACTTATTTATGGGTTAAGGGTTTCGGGATTTGGAGTGGACTAGGGTGTCGGGGTTTAGTGGTTTGGAGTTTAGGGGCTGAGTGGTTAAGGGTTTAGAGGTTCGTCGATAGTAGCGACAAACATAAGAACAATGTTAGGAGCAGTATAGCAGCAAAAGCATTTGTACAGAAAGCCGTACGTAGTTATAGCTCGCAGACAATATTGTGGTAAAAGAGATGAATTAATAGTTTTACCAAGCCTCGTTTTGCTACCGATATTCCTAGTAAGCAGACAAATATCAGGATGTTGTCGATGTTAGTGACGCCAAGCATGATGCTCCTGACATACTGTAGACAAGTATCGTCATGCTGCGTCATGCTGATGGTCTTTGCAGCTACCCTCCTAGTGTCAAGGCCACAGCTTTGAAAAATGACGTGAGGCCGTGGCTAGATTCTGCAAAGAGATGTGAAGCTCCTTTCCTCAACCTCACTTAAACGCTAAGAAGCCCTACACCCGACCGACTCACACTCGCAGGCAAGAAAGCAGGTCGTGTGCGTCTCTCTACCTTCTACAAGAAGTCGCTATACAGCCACTGGCGCTTCACCGAGAAGGCCGGGACAAGCTGCCCCTTTCAGCCGCGCACAGCCCTAAACCCTAAACCCTAAACCCTAAACCCTAAACCGTGGTAGTGGTGGTGACATGCTAGCCATGGCATCAAAGAGCTGAGGAATCGTGTAGTCGTTGTGGGAAGATTGGTTAGAACACCTTGACACATAGGTGATGACCACGATGAAGCTGCTGATGGTGATGGAGGGAGTCTGCCGATGGTGTGCATGACCGTGTTGCTGATGGACGGCAGCAAGACCTAGCTCGTGATGATCATAGTTTTGATAGGGATATTTGTGTTCTTGATGAAGATGCGACGCTGCTGGTGGTGGTGGTGCTGCTCTTGATGACGATGTTTTTGGATGAGGCAGATGGTTTTTGCTGCCGGTAATGCTGCCGGTAATGCTGGCGGTACTTGGAGGTTCATGGATAGATATAAGTGGGGTTACAAGTCCCCTAATACGGGTTATAATTCTAGTTAGTGTACTTATTACTCCACTTATAACTACCAACGAACCTCCAAGTAGTGCTGGGTAGCGGTGCTGGCGCTCCGGCTGGTCTTACTTGTTGTGATAGTGGTGCTGATCGGGAGAATTACTAGGTTCCCCAGTAGTACCCTTTTGCCCTTTTTCTTTTTGGGTTCCCTGATTAAAACTAATGCTAGGAAAGGGTACCCTTATTATTAACGGGCTACTGGGGAACCTAGATCAGTCAGTATGAATGATTCTAGCAGCGGTGGTCGCGCTGTTCAGGAGCAAGAAGTAGACAAGCAACTGCCCTGAATGGTGTTGCCAAGGGTCATCGTCTGATCGTAGGAAAAGCAATCGTAATGGTAGACCTACCCGTAAGCATTGCCGGATGCAGGTGTTGTCATGTATTGTCGATATCTGCGAGTTAGGGTTGCGAGAGCCTTCTGCACTACCGTGCCGATGACCATGAACCAGCCCAGCATTCCGAATACAGTTTCAACATATCTGTGAGCCTGACATATTCCAATGTCGAGTTCCTTAAACCGCAAACTCAAAGTAAGTGGGTTCGAACTGCCAGCAAGGATCATGCTAAGATATTATGCTGGGTGGTTGCCAATAAAGTAGTTAGTAGGGAAAGAAGGTAGACCATATCAAGCATGACAGTTGCGAGGGAGGAACAAGCGCGATTGTCATGCCAACCTTCGGTTCAGCTAGTTTAGTGCACGAACACACGTTGGGTCCAGGATTTTCATCCTACGCCCTGAACCCTAAACCCTAAACCATAAATTGACTAAGCCCTAAACCCTGAACCGCCCCCTTCCCCTGCTACCCGTTTCAGCTTCCCCTGTCCTTTCCCAGGCGCATCCCCAGAGAGCCTAAATTAAGGAATGTACCTTAAGTTATAGAGGGCTTAATCTTATGATTTAAGGTCTATTCCTTAGTTAAGGGGTATTGGGCTCTCTGAGTCCATGCTACCCTTTCTGTGTCTTTGTGTCATGTGCCCTTCAACATACGGTTGATGATATAAATCCTGCATTACCGTAAGGACCCTAAACTATGGGAATTATGGAAAAACCTTATGGGTACTGAAGAGTTTTATATCATCAACCGTAGTGGTTTGCTGCGATGTAGTCGAGGCAGATCCAAAACGACCACGAATCCTGAACCCTCAGCCTTGTATGCCCTAAACTCTGCACCCTCAACCCAGCTTCGGTTCAGGGTGTAGGGTTTGGGCCCTGAACTAAACCCTAAACCCTAAACTTTACGGTTTGTTTGACCAAGTCTCAAGCCAAATGCCAGGCCGACTATCTGCGAACTCTGGGTGCCCTGGATGACTCCGATGCCCGGCTGTTCTGAAGAAGCCTTGTTTTTGTCCGATATCCATATCATTCTATGTGTGTATATATATATACTGTAAATATATATATATATATATATATATATATTTATCTGTGTATATATATATATATGTTATGTGCGTGTGTGTTTATGTGCAATACCAATACAATAAGCAAAAACATCGCTGTACATGTGTACAGACCTGTGTCGCCACTTGCGCGACCATCTGCAGATACAAGTTCCGCACATGCACACGTGCACGCCCATGTGCATGCATGTCTGGTTTTCGTTCGTACTCCAGGGAGCACTTGTTGGCATTTCTTGCGGAGGTAGCTCTTTCAGAAGACTCCGGAGCCTTTCGATCTATGGGTAGAAAGCCGAAAACTCTATCCGTTTATGCCAAGCAAGTAAACTGAATTTTCCTTGTCAATCGCAGCCGCTCTCAGACAATTATAGCGTAGCCTCGAAGAGACGTATCTCCGAACTCGTAACAAACGGCAAGAACGGAAAGCTCAAAACCTCAAACCGCAAACCCTAAACCCAAACCCTAAGTCCTAAAAACTAAACCCTAAACCCCAAACCCCAAGCCCTAACCCCAAACCCAAAACCCCAAACAACTAAGCCCTAATCCCCAAACAATCATGCGGAGAAAGGCCTCAATCCACTGTTCAAAAAAACTAAACCAAAAAGCTGAAAGCTCCAAACCCCACAGCTCTGGTAGCCCTGAAGTCCCTGAAGCCCCACACCCAGAGCGCGAATGTTGTCTTGGCTTAGGGTATCGGGTTTAGGGTTTCGGGTGTAGGGGTTTAGGATTTAGGGTTTAGGGTTTCGGGTGCAGGGCTTTAGGATTTAGGGTTCAGAGTTTAGGATTTAGGGTTTGGCGTTCAGGGTTTATGGTTTAGCATCTCTCCCTTCTGGAAAGCATCGCTGCCACCCCAGGATGAGAAGCAGCCACAGGCCGACTTGTGCCGTGGAAGTTCAGGGTTTGGGAGTTCCTTTAAGGGCTCCTTTAAGGGATCTATAGCAGTTCCTTTTGCGGAATCTATACCAGTTCCTTTAAGGGCTCCTTTAAGGGATCTATAACAGTTCCTTTGCGGAATCTATACCAGTTCCTTGAAGGGCTCCTTCAAGGGATCTATAACAGTTCCTTTGCGGAATCTATACCAGTTCCTTTAAGGGCTCCCCTAAACCCTAAACCCTAAACCCTAAAGGTTATAAGGGTTCCTTTCTAAGGGTTTCCCTTCGAGGGGGGGTGTCCAGGACGGTCCGGGCTTTGGGTTTTAGGGCTCAGCCTTTCGAAGCAGAGAGTTTCGTGGTTTAGGGTTTAGGGTTTAGGGTTTAGGGAATTACCTTTACTATTTTGGGGGGTTCCTTATTCTAATTATACTATGAAGGACCCCACAACCCTATTCTACTTATTAAGGCCCCTACATTAGATGGGGCGGCGACCGGTTAAGGATCTTCGGTTCAGGGTCCGTGGCTTTTGGGGTTTCGGGTTTAGGGTTCAATGTTTTGGGTTGAGGATTTTGGGTTTAGGGTCCGTGGATTTAGAGGTTTAGGATTTTAAGCTTAGGGTCTGTGGCTTTAGGGGTTTAGGGTTTAGGGTTCAATGTTTTGGGTCCGTGGATTTAGGGGTTTATGGCTTCGGGGCTGTTGGGCGGTTTAGGGTTTAGGGTTTAGGGGTTTCGAGGGCCAGGGGTGAATTGGCTTTTTGGGTTCGTAGGTCCCCTGAACCCTAAACCCTAAACCCTAAACCCTCTAGGTGAGGAGAGTGAACATTTGCTGACGGGGATCGCCTGCCAATTCCTGACTGGAAGAAGCCCTAAACCCTAAACCCTTACTGGAAGAAGCCGTCAACCCTACACCCTAAACTCTCAACCCCTGAATGAATCGGAACCCATCACCTACAGGAATTTGCTTTCGTAGCAGTTGACCATTACCGGGTCGGGGGCTGCCATGAATGAAGAGAGCAAGACACCCCCCCCAACATGTAAACCCTAATCCCTTGATGGAAGCAATCGTTTGCACAGGCAATACGGTTAATACAGCCTTGAAATACATATATATATATATGTGTATATATATAATATGTATATATATATATATATACGTGGCTTTAAACCATCCGATGAATACCGAGTCCTATGCTTAGCTTCCAGAGCAGGGTTCCACCGGAAGTTCTCTCACATCAATGAAGGAGGCACAGGTCAGGTTGTAGTGGTTCTTCTTCCGAATTCTCACAGGTCATCATCGCCAACTACATGATGGTTTGGGCCTCGATTCAGATGACCGGGCCTGCAAACGATGCATTCGATGTTCTAGGAAATGATGCTTAGCCTTGGAGTGGTAGGTTAGGCGGTTGAGGGGTCAGGGGGCTTAGTAACCCTAAACCTTAAACTAACCATATAGAACACCCTGATTCATTTTGGTTCGAAGATATGCACACCCCTCATTTCGACGAGCCCTAAACCTAAACTTAGGACCTAAACCCTAAGCTGCTACGGGCTCCAGACTTTGTGCAGACAGAAATCAGAAAAGAGCCCTAAAAAACACAACCTGAGCCGCTCCGAAGGCAAGCCCCTTCCGATTAAAGGTGTGGCGTCTGAAGCTTTACGACCTTGAACCTCGCCACCAACACCGACCCCATCAGCCCAAAGCCGTATACAGGCTCAGACCCAAGACTCCGGGACCCCAAATGCGTAAAGGACCACTAGGAAACCCTAAACCCTAAACCCTAAACCCTAAACCCTAAACCCTAAAGTATGCAAAGCAAGACCCCGAAGCCCCAACCCTCCAAACCGTAAGCTATCAAACCCGAGCCCCAATCCTAAAACCCAAGCCAGAAATCCAAAAACCTTAAATCAAGCCCTAAACCCTAAACCCTAAACCCTAAACCCTAAACCCTAAACCCTAAACCCTAAACCCTAAAACTGAGATCTGCGAGCCTTCGGCCCCGAGGCGCGTCCGAACTGCTTGGAATCGTCGGGTTTGCCATGGCCTCAGAGGGTTTAGGGCTTTTTAGGGTTTAGGGTTATAGGTTTGTAGGGTTTTTAGGGTCTAGGGTTTAGGTTTGTAGGGTTTTTAGGGTTTAGGGTTTAGGTTTGTAGGGCTTTTAGGGTTTAGGGTATAGATTTTAGGGTTTAGGTTTTAGGGTTTGGGGTTTGGGGTTTCGATTTTAGGGTTTAGGTTGTAGGGTTTAGGGTTTAGCTTTTAGGGTTTAGGGTTTAGGGTTTGCGCTTGGAGTGTGTTGCAGGGCCCGAATACCAAAACCTTACCTTACAGCCTGAATGTAGTTTGGGGTTTCAGGCTTAGGGGATACTAAGCCCTAAACACCTGAAGCTACGGGTCTGGAGGATATGATTCCGGGCTTGCCGAAAAGTTGAGGATGCTGGTTCTGAGGCGGGCTCAGCATGTTTCGCAGAAGAACTCGAAAGGTTGAGATCGGGTTTCGGGTTTAGGGTGGGCGTCTTTGGCTTTCCCAAACCCTAAACCCTAAGCCCTAAACCCTAAACCCTAAACCCTAAACCCTAAACCCTAAACCCTAAACCTTAGAGACACTTGGAGCGGGAACCTCCGTAATTAGTGCGGGCAGGCTATATCCCTGCCACCGAGCGCCTCAGCCCGCCAGTCGTACACTACTGGGAGGTTCATGGGTAGTTATAAGTGGGATTGTAAGTCCCCTAATATGGGTTCTAACTATAGTTACCCTACTTATAACTCCACTTCTACTACCCATGAACGTCCAAGTAGGGCTTGCCTTCTTTGCAGCTCACAGATCTTGAGCCCCGAAACCCGAAACTGTATCGAAAATAGCTTTCTAATGATTTCTAGTTTTGGGTCGAGTGGAGGCGTAACAAGAAACAGAACCACTTTTTAGCACCCCGAGCCCGACCCTAGAGTGCAATGCGCGGTGATTCATGAAGGGGCCTTATTAATTATCGACATTATTTTGGGGGCTCCTTTTTAAAAGCATACTTTAAACGGCCCCCAAACCCTTTCTTTAGCTTGTTAAGGCCCCTACAATAGACGCTTCACGCGCACCTGTGCCTCTTAGGTATGCGATTTGTTGCCGGAACGAATGCCGCTTGGCTGCTGCAGGTTTATTGTGTTGCGGCGCTCCTCGGTCTCGTCTAACTACTATCCATCTATAGTTATACATATATAAACATCTTATAATAATAATAATATATATATATATATACATACATATACATATATATACATATATATATATATATATCTATATTTATACTTACATGTATTTATTTAGATAATATAGTAAGACAAAGTATAGCACCATCATATCGCGATATTTGTTGTCATATGGTATATCAAAGCATAACCTTTTGTATTCCACTTAACACAATTTCTACATAGACACTTTTGTGAAAATACACATACACGTATGTATGTATATATATATATATACAGATTTGTATGTAATGGTGTTTCATCATTAGTTTGCTTATTGGTTCTTTTCTTCTGAGTTTTGACGGAGCCTGTCTAGGTACGTGTGTCGTGCAACTGTAGATAAACTTATACATAACACCTTGCAGACAAAGCACGAAACCATCTATGCATATGGGGGAATGCATGCGAGCGTGTGCACAGACGGACTAATTCAAATCTATGCACGTTGGTGAATCTTGGGTGCAACCCCCCCCAACCCCCCACCCCCCCAGGCGTTCAGGGTGTAGCCAGAGAGGCAGCTTCTCCCTATCATTATCTCAAGGGAGCATTCGCACATATTATGGGCATTGAGCTTTGTAGCCCCTCTACTTGTCTACTTGGAGGTTCATGAGTAGTTGTAAGTGGGGTTATAAGTAAGGTAACTGTAATTATAACCCACATTAGGGACTTAAAACCCCCTTTATAACTTCCCATGATCTTTTTCCGTTGGAAAAGCTGTGACTCGAAGGCGAGGACCTCATGGGCCAGCTCGAGACCAATCTTCAGACTGCCGTGGCGAATCCCAAACAGATCGCCTCGCTTGCGGGCGGCCCAGAGAGCCAGAGAGTAATATAGGGGCCTTAATAATTAGAGTAGGGTTTTGGGGCCCATTGTACTATAAGCATAATAAGGAACCCCCAGAACCCTATTCTAATGATTGGCCCCACATTATGTTTCGGTCCGGAATTGTGTTGGTACGTTTTGAACTGCAGACGCCCGTTTGGGTTCTCGAGGGCTCACTGGCTGCGATGGCATGGGTTCATTTAGCTGCTGCAACCCGAAACCTACATGATGAACAACTCTGGACAGACAGCCACACAGCCAGTAATCAATCATCACCAACAACATCAGCACAGATACCATCATCAACACAAAATCACCGTCGTCATCACCACCACCGTCATGATCGTAGTAATGATGCTAGTCATCAGTATCAACAACAACATCATCATCACCATCATCATCATCATTATCGTCATCGTCATCACCATCACTGTCATCATCGCCCTCATTATCATCAGTTTCGTCATCATCATCAGCAGCATCTTTGTCTACCAGCAGCAACATCCTGTGCAGCTGCATCATCAGCAGCACCGCCAACGTTGTTGTCATTGTCTGCATTCCCAAAAGCGGCAATGTCACCGTCATCGTCACTGTTATCCCCCTTGTCGTCGGCATCCCCCATCACCTGCATTGGCATAATCCTTACCATCATGACTATGAGTGACTATCACCTTCATCATATTCGTGCCCGACGCAGGCGTCAGCAAGACTGAGAAAAGAAGCGTCAGCATCGGCAACAACATGCAACAGCAGCTGTGCATCCTTGTGGATGTTTAATTGTGCATGCCCAATTGTCGCGAGGACCAACGCTGATGAAGGTTTGTTGGACGGTAGCTAGGCTTTTGGCACTGAATTTCGAATTTCTTGTCGACGACTCCCTCGGCCACATGCTGAAAACTTGAAACCCAGTGGCCCGTGTAGCTTACCCAAAGCACAGCATGTCGAGTACCTGCCGTCGCGGGCCATTCTGGCACAATCTGCCCAAGCACCATACCCCAATTATCAAGGCCCCCTATACTAAAATCCTGCTAAAAACCATGAAACTGCCCTTTCCAGGCGCCCCGCGTCATTTAGGAACCTGAGGTCAAGACCCCGGTTCCTGTCAGAGTTTGCCAATCTGGCTTGAGGCTCATCGATCTTAGCAGAAGGCGTCCATGAGATGTCCCGGAACACCTACCCTTGCTGTATCTTGCTGTGCCGTATGACAGAACGAGAAGCCACCACCCGTTGTTTTTCCCCATTCATTCAGTGCTCTTCAGAAGGTTTAAGTCCGAATCCACGACACCTCTGTACGGCAGCCCTAAGCATCCGAACCATCGCTCGCCGCGCTCAGAATCACCAAGCCCAGAACCCTCAACCCGACTGAAAAAGCGATAATATTTTTACATAGGGGCCTTAACCATTACCTATACTATTTTGGGGGTTCCTTAGTATAAATATAGTATATTGCGCCCAATAACCCTATTCGAATTATTAAGGCCCCTATATTGGGCCCAATAACCCTATTCGAATTATTAAGGCCCCTACATTACTTCCGACAGGTCGCGAACATGTCCTCCGACACGGCCCTCTCCTCAAGTTCTTGGGAAAGGGCTAGGATACGGGGTGATGTGAGGGGTTACCGTAAGGCGTGCTAAAGGGTTATATGGTGCTATGGCGGACGGGTACTACAAGGGGTTCTATACGGGCTATTACAACTGGGAGCACCAGAAGGGGCTCAAAGCATGGGTACAGAAATCATAAGGCTTGCAACACGGGGTGGCGCTTGGACATGACCGTGCAAGCACACAAACTACACTACTAACGCAGCGTGCTTCTTGAGGCTGGATGCAAGTCCGTGACCAAGTCATAAGCCCAGATCCCAAACCCTAAACCCTAAACCCTAACCCCTAACCCTCTAAATCTCTAAACCTCTAAACCCTAAACCCTAAAACCCCACAGTAAACCCGAAGCCCGAACTCCCGAATCCTAAGCCCCTCAACCCTAATCCTGAACGCTTATTGTTTAGGGTTTAGGGTTTAGGAACCCTGGATCCTGTAACTCCTGAAACCCTAAACCATCCTAAGCCCCCAATCCTAACCCCCAAGCCCTTGAAACCTTGATATGGGTAGTTCTCTAGATTAGGGTCCCTTTTGGGGTTCTTTTGATAAGGGTGCCGTAGTATATTGGGCACCTACAAAGGGACCATAATTTAGAGGACTACCCATATGCCCCCTCTAAGCCCTAAGCCCTAAACCCTAAACCCTAAACACCCTAAGACCCTAAAACCCTAAAACCCTAAACCCTAAAACCCTAAAACCCTAAACCCTAAACCCTAAACCCTAAAAAACCCTAAAACCCTAAACCCCCAAACCCTAAACCATAAAAAAACCCTAAACCCTAAAACCCTAAACCCTAAAGCCCTAAACCCCTAAAGCCCCAAACCCTAAACCCCTAAACCCAAAAAACCCCTAAAACCCTAAAACCCTAAACCCTAAAATCCTAAAACCCCTAAAACTCTAAGAAGCCCTAAAACTCTATATTCTTTGGGCTTCCTAAAAAAACCCACATTCTTTGGGCTTACTCAGGTGACGGCGCCTCGGGTCCTGAGCCCCGTGCTGCTCCAGCGCCTTGAGCAGGTCCCGTCGGGTCGTTGGGAGTTAGAGTTTAGGGTTTAGGGTTTAGGGTTTAGGGTTTTAGGGTTTAGGGTTTAGGGTTTAGGTTTTTTTAGGGTTTTTTAGGGTTTTTTAGGGTTTAGGGTTTAGGGTTTAGGGGCTTTGGGTTTAGGGTCTAGGGTTTAGGGCTTAGGGGTGTAGGATTTGGGGTTTAGGGATTTGGGTTTGGGGTCTACTGCAGGGTTTAGGGTCTGGGGTCTGGGTCGTTTAGACCCAGAGAGCCCAATACCCCTTAATTAAGGAATATACACTATTAACATCGGCATTAAGGTCCCTATCATTTAAGGTATATTGCTTATGTTAAGGGTATTGGCCTCCCTCAGGAGTTTAGGGTTTGGGTTCAGGGTTTGCGGTCTTGGAAATACTGAGTTTGGGCTTGGTGGTTGGGGTTTAGGTCCTGGGGCTTAGGGTTTGGGTCTAGAGTTTAAGTTTGAGGTTTAGGGTTTGGGGTGTAGAGTGGAGGGTTTGGCGTGGTTCAGGTTTTTGTTTGGTCCCTAGGTTGTCGGGTTGTACTAGAGTTCTATAGGGTCTTATGGGTTCCATGCAGGTTTCACAAGGGTTCGATGAGGTTTGCGGGCTTGGGTACTTGGAGGTTCATGGGTAGTTATAAATGGGGTTAAGGCCCCTAGTATGGGTTATAATCACAGTTACCCTACTTATAACCCCCGCTTATAACTACCCATGAACCTCCATATAGAGGGTTTGAGGTGTCAGGTTGCTAGGGCTTTGCAATGGCCTTACAGCGCTTTGTGCACTGGGGCCTAGTAGGTTGTTTCATGTTTATAGGGGTTCGGGTTTAGGGTTTAGGGTTTAGCAATCTAAAATCTTAAACCCTGAGTGAATCCTAGCACCACAATGCCATCTTCGGGTCTATGCATCTATTCTTGCGAGCATCAACAATTTTAGTCTGCATATAGAGTCCATGTATGACAAAGGGCTTGGAATAAGTAGTGGCAATACTTCGTATCCCCCTGCATTCCATAAAACAAATATAGTAGAATGTACCCCAAGACCTTACTTTGCTGAGGAGCTTCGATCGTTTGACTTAGACTTCACGGTAGTTTGTGCTTAAGCTTTCGGGTTCAGTGTTGCGGTTTAGGGTTTAAGGTTTATAAGGTTTAGGGTTTAGGGTTTAGGGTCCCGCCATGGAGGCCCCTAAACCCTAAACCCTATACCCTAAACCCGAAACCCTAAACCCTAAACCCCAAAACCCTAAACCCTAAACCCTAAACCCTATTGCCAAAGAGCCCGACATCCCAGTCAGCCCTCCGCTGTAGGTGGCTTCCGCGAACAACGGGCAGGCAACGGGGTTTAGGGTTTAGGGTTTAGGGTTTAGGGTTTAGGGTTTAGGGGTGGCCCAGGGCAAAGGGGAAAGAGTGTTTGAGGAGGTCACGGATCTGTTTGGGGCTAATA